GCATTGCATAGTTACCAGGTTGCGGGGGCTCGGCTATCTTCGGCTCCGCTCGTGACGTCACCGCGCGTTGCGCGTTGCATAGCTACCAGGATGCGGGGTGATTACTCGCCTATTATGCGAGCGCTACGTTACCACTACGTGCAGCTGGGGAGGTAGGGGTCAACATGTCACAATATATATTAACCTATATACCTATAATTATTAAGGTAGAATCATACAGAGCTCAAACAGGCCTTACACAGAGCCACAACTGACAGAACTTTGGCCATGTATGGGCTAACTGCAAACAACCCCCAAGATGTTTGTGGTGCAGTGGTGGCCATCTGCATAAGGAATGTCCTGAAAAGACGAATACAGAATCTACACCAAGTAGCTGCAATTGCACCCTAGTAGAAGGAAAACTGCAAAGGAGAGCACAACGAGCACCAAAGGAAGCTGGGAGGACATTCTTCTCTAAGTTTACCTCAGCAGAGCAATCCTACGCAGCTGCACTGTGTCAAGACAATGAACACCAGCACCACCAGATAGAAGGGAAAAGTGTCTGGCAACCCATGGAGCAGCAGGTGCCACAACAGGAATTTCAGAAAACAGGTCTGTCAGTACAGGCTCCCAGTTCATCTAACAGTGACACTGTAACCACTGCACTGCAGCAGCAGGTGCCACAACAGGAATTGCAGAAAACAGGTCTGTCAGTACAGGCTCCCAGTTCATCTAACAGTGACACTGTAACCACTGCACTGCAGCAGCAGGTGCCACAACAGGAATTGCAGAAAACAGGTCTGTCAGTACAGGCTCCCAGTTCATCTAACAGTGACACTGTAACCACTGCACTGCAGCAGCAGGTGCCACAACAGGAATTGCAGAAAACAGGTCTGTCAGTACAGGCTCCCAGTTCATCTAACAGTGACACTGTAACCACTGCACTGCAGCAGCAGGTGCCACAACAGGAATTGCAGAAAACAGGTCTGTCAGTACAGGCTCCCAGTTCATCTAACAGTGACACTGTAACCACTGCACTGCAGCAGCAGGTGCCACAACAGGAATTGCAGAAAACAGGTCTGTCAGTACAGGCTCCCAGTTCATCTAACAGTGACACTGTAACCACTGCACTGCAGCAGCAGGTGCCACAACAGGAATTGCAGAAAACAGGTCTGTCAGTACAGGCTCCCAGTTCATCTAACAGTGACACTGTAACCACTGCACTGCAGCAGCAGGTGCCACAACAGGAATTGCAGAAAACAGGTCTGTCAGTACAGGCTCCCAGTTCATCTAACAGTGACACTGTAACCACTGCACTGCAGCAGCAGGTGCCACAACAGGAATTGCAGAAAACAGGTCTGTCAGTACAGGCTCCCAGTTCATCTAACAGTGACACTGTAACCACTGCACTGCAGCAGCAGGTGCCACAACAGGAATTGCAGAAAACAGGTCTGTCAGTACAGGCTCCCAGTTCATCTAACAGTGACACTGTAACCACTGCACTGCAGCAGCAGGTGCCACAACAGGAATTGCAGAAAACAGGTCTGTCAGTACAGGCTCCCAGTTCATCTAACAGTGACACTGTAACCACTGCACTGCAGCAGCAGGTGCCACAACAGGAATTGCAGAAAACAGGTCTGTCAGTACAGGCTCCCAGTTCATCTAACAGTGACACTGTAACCACTGCACTGCAGCAGCAGGTGCCACAACAGGAATTGCAGAAAACAGGTCTGTCAGTACAGGCTCCCAGTTCATCTAACAGTGACACTGTAACCACTGCACTGCAGCAGCAGGTGCCACAACAGGAATTGCAGAAAACAGGTCTGTCAGTACAGGCTCCCAGTTCATCTAACAGTGACACTGTAACCACTGCACTGCAGCAGCAGGTGCCACAACAGGAATTGCAGAAAACAGGTCTGTCAGTACAGGCTCCCAGTTCATCTAACAGTGACACTGTAACCACTGCACTGCAGCAGCAGGTGCCACAACAGGAATTGCAGAAAACAGGTCTGTCAGTACAGGCTCCCAGTTCATCTAACAGTGACACTGTAGCCACTGCAGTGCATCAGATCATGACAGAGCTCAGTGGAGCTCTATCACAGGAAGACAGAATAATGGTCATTACAAAAATGGTACTTAATTTAATGCAACAAAATGGCTGCTAGAGTCCATAGGCTGCTAAGAGTAATAGTATTTAATGCAAATGGCATGTGGAAATAGTGCTATGAGCTCAGTAAACAGCTGCAAGATTTACATATCGATGTAAGGCTGTGCCATAGCTCAAGCGGTTAGTTGCTGGCTTCCCACCACGGCAGCCCAGGTTTGATCCTGGGTCTGGTCAAGTGGGGTTTGTGGTGGACAAAGTGGCGCTGGGGCAGGTTTACTCCGAGTACTTCGGTTTCCCCTGCCAATCTTCATTCCACCAATTGCTCCACAATCACCCTCACCTGTCATCTGAGGCTGGTACAATAGGCCAGAAGTGGCCGCAGTACAAGGGACTTAGTCCCATCCCACTAGCAATACATATAGATGTGGCTCTTCTCTCAGAGACACATCTCAAACCCCATGAGAGATCCTTTATTCCAAATCATCATTTTTATTGTACTAACCACTTCCAAGGTAGAAAAGGTGGAACTGCAGTTGCAGTGAGAAAAGGCATTCCCCACAACCATGTAGACCTGCCTCCGTTTGTTTCAATAGAAGCCACAGGGGTTTGCATACTGATAGGTAATAGCTAAATACTACTTGTAGCAGTATATAAGTCCCCAGGCCACACCTGGAATGACGCTGACATCACTGAGCTCTTAAGCTTTAGGCATAAGTTGATACTGGCAGGACATCTGAATGCTAAACATCCATTTTGGAATAATGGTGTTTCCAACACATCAGGCGTGAAACTGCAGAATTTACTGCATATAAATGAGTTTGAAATTTCAGCACCACAATGTCCCACTCATTACTTTCCTACAGGAAATGGTGACGTACTTGATATGGTTGTGCACAAGAATGTGCGGCTGTCAGAAATCATTGTCTCCGATATTCTGGACTCAGATCACCTACCAATTGTTTTCCACTTGCTAGATCATGATAAAACTAGGAATATTTCGGAGCTGGTTGACAAATTCACAGATTGGAAGTGGTTTAAAAACTTGGCCTCTGAATTAATTTCACCTAGAATCCAAATTAACTTGGAGGAAGAAGCCGATAAAGCGGCCCGTGACTTTACTGCCTCTATAGCTTCTGCGTATAGGCTATCAACAAGCAAAATTACACTCTCGGACCTTAATAAGGACGTACCTGGTCTGGAAAGTTTGCTGAAACATAAGCAGAGGTTAAGGAAACTGTGGCGAGTAACTCGGGATCTAGCATGTAAAATAACACTCAATTGGGTCACCAAAACCATCAGATGAATGACCCGTAGAAAGGCACTAGAATGGTGGGAAACAAAAGCAGGGAACTGTAAGGTCACACCTCAAGTTCTGTGGCCTATTACAAAATCACTTACGAAAAGGGATGGACCAAAGGCACCAATTGCTGTTCATGGGCCTTTAGGAATAACATATCATGCTGATGAGAAAGCCAACGTGATAGTGGATTGTTTAGAAAACCAGTTCACATCTCATGACCTATGTGATGAAAGCCATGTGTGACAGGTAGAGACTACAGTCCAAGCTCTGCTTGCATCTGTAGAAGGTACTCCGCTGGGGAAAGTACGACCTCATGACATACATAAATTAACAAATACATTAAAACTGCGAAAGGCTTGTGGACTTGATGGTATTCCAAATGAATGCCTTAGGCATCTTCCAAGAAGACCACTGGTACATATGACACATTTAATTAATCACTGCCTTCGGCTGTCCTATTTTCCAAAGCTTTGGAAGGAAGCAAAGGTTATAAGGTTACTGAAACCCGGCAAGGACCCAAAATTTCCTCAAAATTGATGCCCGATTAGCCTCTTGTCTACAAAAGGCAAGCTATTTGAAAAGTTTTTTTGAAAATAGACCAAAGGCACATTGAAGAAAAAGACCTGATTAATGCAAGCCAGTCTGATTTCCGTGCCTGTCATAGCACGACACTTCAATGTATGAGGCTTACGGACCACATAACCTTAAATTTCAACAATAACATGTCTACAGCTGCTGTATTCTTGGACACTGAAAAAGCCTTTGATAAAACATGGCACACTGGCTTGCTATATAAATTATCTACATTACAATTTTTGATAAGTCTAATCAATCTTATTAGCTCTTCCATTCTCAGAGAAAATTCAGAGTTTCAGTGAAAGGTGAAATGTGACTGACTGACTGACCAACTGACCATCAGTTGCAATATGACTTTAACTTAACACCAGCAGTTGAGTTGAATGGGCAGTTCAAGACAACTGAGAGACCAGTGCAGAGTGCAGTGCAGTTGAGACTTCTACACAGTTCAAGAGAAGATTATAAAAGTAGCAAATATACTGGACTGACAGACAGAATTCAATAGCAGAGTCCTGGAGGCTACAAACGAGGATTAGAACTGAAGTGTTGAAGACTTTACTTTATGTGTTATTGTTCCAGTAATAATTTGGAGTGTAGTTACGACTGGTAGTTATCCAATAAATCAATTGCCAATCCAGACCTGCATCTTAGTCACTAATACATGTGACATTATTAATAAACTCATAAGAACAATGAACAGTAAACTACTACATCAGTCACCTGACATTGACATTTCACTCCTAACAAATTTCTGACCACAGAGTCTCTGATCATTGATTTCTGAAGCAATTACACTAATCACGAAATTCATAAAGTGATGACAAAAGGCATTTTACTAGACAATGCACTGGAACATTCTGCATACACCAACACAAGTTTGGAAATACTGAACTTGAAATATTTAATACCAAGTTCAAGTTCTGAGTATATTCTGAGACTGAATTATACTTGAATTATGTAATAAATTTCTTTTTAAGAAATACTTTAAAAATATTATTAATAGAAGGAGAATAATAAAAAGTTATAATGAAAACTTGCCTTATACATACTGCAACTGGCCCAAAGATCTCTTCATTGTAGCACATCATAGATTCACTGATATTTGTAAGTAAAGTGGGTTCATAAAATCTCTCCCCCAAAGTGGATGCAGGTTTCCCACCCAAATGGATCTTTGCTCCTTTCTTGATAGCATCTTGAACAATTGTGTTAACCTGAAATTACACATTCTCTCAATGTGAAAAATGAAGAAAAAGCCAAGTTACAGAGTCAATCTAGAGTCCTACCAAAATCTTTGCTTTGAGAAACCAGTATCTATATACCACATTCAGAATTAACTTTCAGTCTTTGCCAAACCAAAATGGCAGGAAATTAGGACTTTATGTGACAATGATGCAGTGTATTGTAAAACGTGAAAGAAAAACCAAGCTATGTGAAAAAGTTTATGAGTTTAACATGCAAGTTTCCTTAATTCACACTTTTGGCAATGGTGTTTCAGTCTCTTCATCTGAAGTTGTTCATCATAAAGAAAACAAATTAAAACATCTTGTAATTGTCTCTAAGAGGAGCTTAAACCTTCTGATTGCCAAGACCCTCCTGACTGCTAGAAACGCTGTTTCAGAATGAATGTTGCTGCAAACAAAAGTTCAGTTGTAAGATTTGAGGCTTTCACGGCGATGACTATGAAGAAAGCAGTCTTCTGGGATTTGGCACCGTGTATGTGTGGTGTTAACCGACGTTTCGGAGGAACGTATCGCCTCCATCTTCAGGGTAGAAGAAAAAATATATAAGAAATCTGCAAGCAAAGAGACGGCCTCTTTGCTTGCAGATTTCTTATATATTTTTTCTTCTACCCTGAAGATGGAGGCGATACGTTCCTCCGAAACGTCGGTTAACACCACACATACACGGTGCCAAATCCCAGAAGACTGCTTTCTTCAAAAGTTCAGTTACTCCACAGATTACCATTAAGTCACCATACATCAGATAACAAGAAATCCTGTTCTTTCCCTTAAACATCCGTACATAACAACTGATGCCATATAATGACAGAAATGCTCTAGTGATTAACTGGCAGTTTTAACACAAGTACACTTAGATGATCTAATCAGCTTGTTAATGTGATATCATATATGAAAGTGCGGCAATACATCACAGTGGGACAGTCAATCTAATCCATGCACAAACATGTTTAAACAGAACAGTAAAGCCACATAAACTGATACTACAGCTTGAAGGGGGGGGATGAGGGAAGGCCAGGAGGAACAGCAACACAGTTCTGCAGCTAAGTTTTGTTATTCATCAAGCACTGTCACATCTTTTTCAGACAGGAAAAGGGTATGGCAACTGTATCAACTGCTCACACTACAGCCATCTACTCTCAAATTCTATGTTCTCCTGCAATATTTTCGGTTAAACTACCCCTTTCATTGCCCATATATCGCCATAATGTGCTATTTCCCAATGTCCCCTTTAGTGTTTTGTATTTACTTGCATAATTTATGCATCCAACTTTCACATAAATTTATGGGGAAAGAAAAAGTAGTATCATATTAGGCCACGCCATAGCTCAAGCACTTAGTCGCTGGCTTCCCACGACGGCAGCCTGTGTTCGATCCTGGGTCTGGTCAAGTTGGATTTGTGGTGGACAAAGTGGAGCTGGGGCAGCTTTTCTCCAAGTACTTCGGTTTCCCCTGCCAATCTACATTCCACCAATTGCTCCACAATCACCCTCACCATCATCTGGGGCTGGTACAATAGGACAAAAGGGGCTGCAGTACAAGGGACTTAGTCCCACCCCACTAGCAATAAAAAAAATCATATGACATGATGGCTGAAAGTCAGAATGGTGGGGCAGAAGGAGGCGGCTGTTGCTGGGCAGCAGTGCTTCTGTGCGGCACATGTCATGGCTCTATCACAGGGGTCGAGGAACTTTTTTACTTATTACCCCAAAATATATTTATTTACGCTGACATTACCCCCTTGATTTGAAAGAGAGAAAATCATAGATTATTCAAATTCCAAAGGTTTATTGAATCTATTTATATGGAGAATACAATTATAAATATAAAAAGTATAAAATAAATGTGATAAAATACGAGTAAATTAATATCCTCATTATGAAACAAAAGGATTTCTTAGAAAAAA